AAATTTCAAATTTTTTTTTCAACCAGACATAACCAGATCGATTCGCCTCTTAATTCTGATCAAGAATATATATGATTTATAGGGTCAGAAATGACTCCTTCATGTTGTTTTAGGAATCCGATTGAAACTTAATACCCTCAAATTCAAATAAATACCACCATTTTATATGACAATTTTTAAGACATATCAAAGCTCAAAATCTCATAACTAAGCCAAAAATGCATTAATTTTAATTCCGAAAGCTTTTCTATATTATTTTTTACTGGGTTGATAAATCTGCATACTCCTTCTCTGCACTGCAAGCCTGTGACTGAAATTATCACATCCGCAAATGGTTATTTAAATTTAATAAATACCACCATTTATATGACAATTTTAAGACATATCAAAGCGCAAAAATCTCATAACTAAGCCAAAAATGCATTAATTTTAATTCTGAAAGCTTTTCTATATTATTTTTTACTGGGCTGATAAATCTGCATACTCCTTCTCTGCACCGCAAGCCTGTGACTGAAATTATCACATCCGCAAATGGTTATTTAAATTTAAATATTAAGCAGAAATTAGGACAATTTTTTCGACAAACCAAAAGGTAAAAATCTCATAACTTAGCCAAAAATGCATTAAATTCAATTCGGAAAGCTTTCCTATGCTAGTTTTTATTAGGATAATCAATCTGCATACTCAATTTAAATATAAAATTTTCGCCATTTTTGACAATTTTAATGATGTAACCCCTTATCGTTTTTGCGAAAAATTGAAAAAATTTCAAAATTTTTTTTTCAACCAGATATAACCAGATCGATTCGCCTCTTAATTCTGATCAAGAATATATATGATTTATAGGGTCAGAAATGACTCCTTCATGTTGTTTCAAGCTTCCGACTGAAACTTAATACCCTCAAATTCAAATAAATACCACAATTTTATATGACTATTTTTAAGACATATCAAAGCTCAAAAATCTCATAACTAAGCCAAAATGCATTAATTTTAATTCCGAAAGCTTTTCTATATTATTTTTACTGGGTTGATAAATCTGCATACTCCTTCTCTGCACTGCAAGCCTGTGACTGAAATTATCACATCCGCAAATGGTTATTTAAATTTAAATATTAAGCAGAAATTAGGACAATTTTTTCGACAAACCAAAAGGTAAAAATCTCATAACTTAGCCAAAAATGCATTAAATTCAATTCGGAAAGCTTTCCTATGCTAGTTTTTATTAGGATAATCAATCTGCATACTCAATTTAAAATATAAAATTTTCGCCGTTTTTGACAATTTTAATGATGTAACCCCTTATCGTTTTTGCGAAAAATTGAAAAAATTTCAAAATTTTTTTTTCAACCAGATATAACCAGATCGATTCGCCTCTTAATTCTGATCAAGAATATATATGATTTATAGGGTCAGAAATGACTCCTTCATGTTGTTTTAAGCATCCGATTGAAACTTAATACCCTCAAATTCAAATAAATACCACCATTTTATATGACAATTTTTAAGACACATCAAAGCTCAAAAATCTCATAACTAAGCCAAAAATGCATTAATTTTAATTCCGAAAGCTTTTCTATATTATTTTTTACTGGGTTGATAAATCTGCATACTCCTTCTCTGCACTGCAAGCCTGTGACTGAAATTATCACATCCGCAAATGGTTATTTAAATTTAAATATTAAGCAGAAATTAGGACAATTTTTTCGACAAACCAAAAGGTAAAAATCTCATAACTTAGCCAAAAATGCATTAAATTCAATTCGGAAAGCTTTCCTATGCTAGTTTTATTAGGATAATCAATCTGCATACTCAATTTAAAATATAAAATTTTCGCCATTTTTGACAATTTTAATGATGTAACCCCTTATCGTTTTTGCGAAAAATTGAAAAAATTTCAAAATTTTTTTTTCAACCAGACATAACCAGATCGATTCGCCTCTTAATTTTGATCAAGAATATATATGATTTATAGGGTCAGAAATGACTCCTTCATGTTGTTTTAAGCATCCGATTGAAACTTAATACCCTCAAATTCAAATAAATACCACCATTTTATATGACAATTTGTAAGACACATCAAAGCTCAAAAATCTCATAACTAAGCCAAAAATGCATTAATTTTAATTCCGAAAGCTTTTCTATATTATTTTTTACTGGGTTGATAAATCTGCATACTCCTTCTCTGCACCGCAAGCCTGTGACTGAAATTATCACATCCGCAAATGGTTATATAAATTTAAATATTTGCCAGAAATTAGGACAATTTTTTCGACAAACCAAAGGGTAAAATCTCATAACTTAGCCAAAAATGCATTAAATTCAATTCGGAAAGCTTTCCTATGCTAGTTTTTATTAGGATAATCAATCTGCATACTCAATTTAAAATATAAAATTTTCGCCATTTTTGACAATTTTAATGATGTAACCCTTATCGTTTTTGCGAAAATTGAAAAAATTTCAAAATTTTTTTTTTCAACCAGACATAACCAGATCGATTCGCCTCTTAATTTTGATCAAGAATATATATGATTTATAGGGTCAGAAATGACTCCTTCATGTTGTTTTAAGCATCCGATTGAAACTTAATACCCTCAAATTCAAATAAATACCACCATTTTATATGACAATTTTTAAGACACATCAAAGCTCAAAAATCTCATAACTAAGCCAAAAATGCATTAATTTTAATTCCGAAAGCTTTTCTATATTATTTTTTACTGGGTTGATAAATCTGCATACTCCTTCTCTGCACTGCAAGCCTGTGACTGAAATTATCACATCCGCAAATGGTTATTTAAATTTAAATATTAAGCAGAAATTAGGACAATTTTTTCGACAAACCAAAAGGTAAAAATCTCATAACTTAGCCAAAAATGCATTAAATTCAATTCGGAAAGCTTTCCTATGCTAGTTTTTATTAGGATAATCAATCTGCATACTCAATTTAAAATATAAAATTTTCGCCATTTTTGACAATTTTAATGATGTAACCCTTATCGTTTTTGCGAAAAATTGAAAAAATTTCAAAATTTTTTTTTCAACCAGACATAACCAGATCGATTCGCCTCTTAATTTTGATCAAGAATATATATGATTTATAGGGTCAGAAATGACTCCTTCATGTTGTTTAAGCATCCGATTGAAACTTAATACCCTCAAATTCAAATAAATACCACCATTTTATATGACAATTTTTAAGACACATCAAAGCTCAAAAATCTCATAACTAAGCCAAAATGCATTAATTTTAATTCCGAAAGCTTTTCTATATTATTTTTTACTGGGTTGATAAATCTGCATACTCCTTCTCTGCACCGCAAGCCTGTGACTGAAATTATCACATCCGCAAATGGTTATTTAAATTTAAATATTAGCCAGAAATTAGGACAATTTTTTCGACAAACCAAAGGGTAAAAATCTCATAACTTAGCCAAAATGCATTAAATTCAATTCGGAAAGCTTTCCTATGCTAGTTTTTATTAGGATAATCAATCTGCATACTCAATTTAAAATATAACATTTTCGCCATTTTGACAATTTTAATGATGTAACCCCTTATCGTTTTTGCGAAAAATTTCAAAATTTCAAACATTTTTGTTCAACCAGACATAACCAGATCGATTCGCCTTTTAATTCTGATCAAGAATATATATGATTTATAGGGTCAGAAATGACTCCTTCATGTTGTTTTAAGCATCCGATTGAAACTTAATACCCTCAAATTCAAATAAATACCACAATTTTATATGACGATTTTTAAGACATATCAAAGCGCAAAATCTCATAACTAAGCTAAAAATTCATGAATTTTAATTCAGAAAGCTTTTCTATATTATTTTTTACTGGGTTGATAAATCTGCATACTCCTTCTCTGCACCGCAAGCCTGTGACTGAAATTATCACATCCGCAAATGGTTATTTAAATTTAAATATTAGCCAGAAATTAGGACAATTTTTTCGACAAACCAAAGGGTAAAAATCTCATAACTTAGCCAAAAATGCATTAAATTCAATTCGGAAAGCTTTCCTATGCTAGTTTTTATTAGGATAATCAATCTGCATACTCAATTTAAAATATAAAATTTTCGCCATTTTGACAATTTTAATGATGTAACCCCTTATCGTTTTTGCGAAAAATTGAAAAATTTCAAAATTTTTTTTTCAACCAGACAACCAGATCGATTCGCCTTTTAATTCTGATCAAGAATATATATGATTTATAGGGTCAGAAATGACTCCTTCATGTTGTTTTAAGCATCCGATTGAAACTTAATACCCTCAAATTCAAATAAATACCACAATTTTATATGACGATTTTTAAGACATATCAAAGCGCAAAAATCTCATAACTAAGCTAAAAATTCATGAATTTTAATTCAGAAAGCTTTTCTATATTATTTTTTACTGGGTTGATAAATCTGCATACTCCTTCTCTGCACCGCAAGCCTGTGACTGAAATTATCACATCCGCAAATGGTTATTTAAATTTAAATATTAGCCAGAAATTAGGACAATTTTTCGACAAACCAAAGGGTAAAAATCTCATAACTTAGCCAAAATGCATTAAATTCAATTCGGAAAGCTTTCCTATGCTAGTTTTTATTAGGATAATCAATCTGCATACTCAATTTAAAATATAAATTTTCGCCATTTTTGACAACTTTAATGATGTTACCCTTATCGTTTTTGCGAAAAATTGAAAAAATTTCAAAATTTTTTTTTTCAACCAGACATAACCAGATCGATTCGCCTCTTAATTCTGATCAAGAATATATATGATTTATAGGGTCAGAAATGACTCCTTCCTTGTTTTAAGCTTCCGACTGAAACTTAATACCCTCAAATTCAAATAAATACCACAATTTTATATGACGATTTTTAAGACATATCAAAGCGCAAAATCTCATAACTAAGCTAAAAATTCATTAATTTTAATTCGGAAAGATTTTCTATAGTTTATAACTTGAAATATTCCTATGAAAATTTGTGGGACTCACGTGACAGGATGAAGGCGCTGGCATCTTTGGCGGCTCCGACAATGGTGGGCACACTGTTGCTGGCGTTGGCGGCCAGGGCGGCCGGGTGACGGGGCAGGTATCCAAGGCGGTCGCCCACGACAAGCTTGAAGCCGCCGAGGGAGCTAAGACCACGCGGCTCGTTCTGCTCGAAGAGCTGCTCGAAGGCGGAGACCAGCTGCGAGGTGGGCAGTGTCGCCAGGCAGTCGTACAGCGGGGCAAGGGTGCGGGCGGCGGGATTGGTTGGACAACGGGCGAGGCGGGCAAAGGTGTCCAGGGTCTCCAACGGGCGCTCATCGATCAGGTAGGGATTGAGGGCGGTGCCCGACTGCAGGATCAATTGCTGGAAGAGGTCTGAGGCCTGTCCGCTGAGGCTAAGAGCGTGGACCAATGTGGCTCCGCCCGCCTGTCCTGCCAGCGTAACCTGACCGGGATTGCCGCCAAAGTGAGCCAGATTGCGCTGCAGCCACTCGAGGGCCAATTGAAGATCGGAGAGAGCCACGTTACCAGGAAGCTCGTCGCTCAGAGCGCTCAGGAAGCCGAAGGGCGCCAGACGATAGTTGATCGAGACGAGGAGCACGTCCTTCTCTAGGACATAGTCCGGCTGGGCCTCTTCAGCGCCACCGTCGAACAGCATCTCGCCGTGCACGAAGACCAGCACCGGCAGGTCCTTGGCCCCTCGGGTGCGTAGATGTTCAAGGTCAGGCAATCGTCCACGTTCTCGCCGCGGGACTCGGATTCCCTCAGGCGCTGCAACTCCGGAAACTGGGCACAGTTCGGGCTCTGCACGGTGGCGTCAATCCGTCCCCGGAGGTTAGCAGGTTGAGCCGCCTGGAATCGTGCCAGACCGCTGCCCACTTGACCATACCGCACGCCCAAAAAGGCGTTCACAGGACGTCCGGCAATGGTCTTATAGTTGCGAACTCCCTCGATCTGTCCGATCCCGGGAATAGGCACCACGGCCGACTGGGGCTCTTGGGGTGCGTTGCGTGGTTCCGCCTGCCAGGGAGCTGGCTTCAGGGGCTCCGGCTGCCATGGCTTCGCCTCCTCATCGTTGTAATCGTCGTCATAGTCTGGTCTGGGGAGACCAAAGATTGGGGCCGCACAAAGGGCCAGCACAACAAGGAGCAGCGGCTGCATGTTGCTCACTGCGTCGCGTTCGAAAGGGAACTGATTTCGGAATCGGATTCGACGACCTGAAAAGCTTACAGCTTTATCTGTGGCCAGAGCAACAGTCAGCAGCAACAGCAGCAGCAGCAGCAGCCTTGGTGCGAGCTCACTGCGAGGTTGGCTTGAGGCGACACTGGAACTGAGGAGTAATCAGAAAAATCACTCTGGAAGAGAGCCTAGACTTTGCGATATCAGAAAGATAAATTTTTCACAAAATGTATAGCATACTTATGAGGGTCTTCCCCATATGCCTTATATTTATTACGTCAAAACTTCTTTTGTTTTCCCTATAAACAGGACACAATATATATATAGGGATACCAAGGAAATAGTTTAACAAATTTATTAAAACCTATGATTGTTTAAATCTTAACACTAACCTTATTTACATTTCTAAATGTAAAATTATGTTTTAATGGATGCCTTAATCTGTGAGTCTACCCTCGTTGTCCCAGTCCAAGTCTCAGTTGGTGGTGTCATGACCGCGATTAATCTGCTATTTGTGCTTCCAGCTGTATTACTTGGCTAGCTTTGGCTGACCTTATCTCTTCCGGGCCTTATCTGCTGGAACAGCTTCGATTTTCTGGCTGGCTCGAGTCGGGTTTCAACATGGAGCTATGCAATGTTTTACATAGTCTGACTTAACAAATCTTATGCAACAATTCAAGAAAATAGCAAGAAATAAAGAAGAAATTATATTGCTTATTAACTCAAATAATTAATTTTCTCTACTTACCTTTAATTTTGTACCTTTTCTTACCAACAAGAACATGATTACTGGAAGAGAAAATAAATATAGATGCCTTGACCCTGAAATTCAAGATTAAAACGCAATGAACAGATTCATAATATAATAATCTCTATATTTTCATTTTTATTAATCATTTTTCGATTCCATTCCCTCCATTTCTGTTCTTGTTAAAGTTTCATTTTCATTTTCTGGTTTTGTATCGGCTTGTTCAGTATGTATCTATAATAATGTGTTATAATTAAGAATCGTCATTTCATCTAAATATTTCTGTTATAATAATACAATATAATAATAATTAATAATATGCGGTTCTTTGTTTTTACTTCTTATTCAATTTTTGTTATCGATTTCACTGTATGTTAAACGTGTGTGAGTGGGTTTTGAGTGTGTTGTATATTGGCTTGCTTCTGAATGTATTCTCCGGATCGATCCGTTTGGGAGTTAATTGTGTCTTGGACCGAGTTCGGATCTGGGGCCTCGCAGCAGCAATTCTTATCCGCTTGAGTTTGATTATTAATTCGTATCTGAGACCGACTCATCTATCTTCTCTTTATGACGCGCAGCTTACGTACAGTGCAGTACAGTACGGTACGTTCGAGTGTGGAAATCAGAGTTCTAGGAAAGCTAAAAGCAAGTGGTATGCATATATACTTGTGTCTATATACGTATATATGTATATGTTTATATATTCGTTCTAGGTATTTTAATCTCGATTATGCTGTGGCGCTGTGGCAGTGGCCGTCACTGTGGGCCAAAGAAAAGGAAGCCTCTTAAATTCAAATCCAAAATCTAAAAAAAAATCAGAAACCAAAAAGCGAAGAGTGTCTCATTACGTATGTAGTATGTTATGTATTTAGCAGCTTCCTTTGACTATGTACTATACATCCTCAAAGAATGCCAGAAAAAAGAAATGCAAAAGTCCTTGTTCCATCTTCTATTTAGATGCATAATTGAACATGGCTTAGTGGCACTGATTGAGCCATTTGATTGATTGATTGATACCGGGGGTTGCCATCGCCTGCGGGAATATCGTTTTAGGAACTTCTCAAACTAATTAAGGACTCGTCAAAATGAAATGCGAATGAAACGAACTCCTTAGCTCCCGGTTCTGGCGTTCTCTAGTCAAAAATCGTTTACCAAAAAATGCACATTAATTATTTTCTTTCACTGAATCAAAAGTTCTTTCACTGATTTCTGATTTCAGTTTTTGCTTGTTTTGTTTTTATATTTTTGTTTTGTCTTTTTAGTTGTTTTTTGTTTTCTTGTATATTTTTGTAGCTCAGTCTTTTTACTAACAATTTGTTGTTGTTTTTGTTGTTGTTGTTGTTATTTAATTAGCTTCTTGATGCTGTAGATCTTATTTATTATTTCGCAGTGCTGATCTTGCACATTTGCCGCTTGAATACTTAAGTGTGTGTTTTTATTATTCGAACGAAATCGAACAAATTACAACGAATTCCTGCTTGGAGAGAGGGTGGACTGTGTTTGGTTTTAATTTCTTTTTTTCTCAGTGTGTAGGTGTGTATGTGTGTGTGTTTGGGGGTTGAAATGAGTAGGAGAAAGTTCAATTCATTTAGTTTATAGTTCGCATCGATTAAAGTGGCTAGCTGTTAGCTCTATAGTTGCTTGGAAGTACCGTTGTTCTTTTGTTTTTTGTTTGTGTCTAACTTTCGTAACTTATTTGATTAAACATTTTGTTATTCACTTTGTTTTTTTTTGTTTTCTTTTTTGGGGGCTTTCATTACATTTTGTGTTACTCATTACGATCTTGCGCTACATTTGTCAACAATTTAAATTTATCCTTACGTATTTGTAACCGCTAAAGAATGGATAACATACTCGTGTCATATGGCTCCTATATGCTTTGATAACTCCTAATCGATAAGCACATCTTCTGGATTGTTTGGATTCTCTGTTTGTGTGTATTTCTTTTTTTTGGGAGAGTGGAACCAAGCGGTGAATGGTAATCGTTTTTTGGTAATCGAGTTATGGATCATTATGTTTTTTGCTTTAATGAAGGAATATTTTATTTGGTTTTGGTGAAGTATTTACAGAGTTTCGCATAATAGTATTCATATAGGTAATGCATACGTTAGGCTGGTTTGTTTGTTGCGTTATAAAATCTTAACATAATTATTATAATTTGAATTCGCGAACTCGCATAACTGCCTCGGGAAAGTAAAAATGCATCGATTACGTGTCAGTGTGTTTTCGTAATTATACTATGTTGCATAGAGAGAGTGAGATAGAGAGCTGTCTACTTAGAAATAATAAAACCAAACGGAACCGGAAATAGTTGTTACGTTACGTGACGTGACATTACGTGACGTTACGTTACGTTACGCTTAGCCTATATCCGCTCAGTGTTCTGATTTCAGTTGTATCTGTAATAGTTCGCTCGTTTTCCCAAAAAACAATAATAATAATACAGTTAATAAGAGTCAAGTTAATCGTAAATGCCTTAGCCTAATTAGTAGGTATTCTTTTTTTATAATGTAATGCCTGCTCGTAATAATATCTATCCTTTAATCATTCATATATTTTTGTTTTTGTTTTTCGGTTTCATATATATTAATATTTAGTTTTATTTTATGTAAGAAGCACTTGAATATATATCGTTCTTAATGGAAAAAATGAAAACTTGAGTGTGTGTCATGTCAAGGGTTCATTTCCTTCGTTCCTAATGATTTTATTTTTTAATATTTTCGTTTTCTTATTTCGGATTCCTGCTTTCTGCTATAATTCCTTAAATGTTGCTTGTTCTTTTTATATATATTTTAATAAGTTGCTAATTAGCAAATATGAATGCGCCGGCTACAATCTGTAGGTAATAATTGTTTTTTTTTTTTTTTTTGTCTTATTCGGAGAAAGTTAAAAATCGTTTTCAATTAGCTTATAATTATCTTTAAAGTATGTTCAATCTCAACCCCAGATTCCTGCTCTTCTTAAAAAGTTGCAGAATGGGTTTATCTTGTTTACCAAAAAGTGTAACTTTTCCGGAAAGTGTTTTAGAAATTTATAGATTTTTTTGTTTGCATTTGTTTTTCGACTCTGCCATTTCTTTGTTGGGTGTTTTTAATAAAATACTTTGCTTAATTCTTTTGTTTAATATTTTTTTGTTGATTTTTTTTCCTTTTTGTTTTCATTCAATTTAAAAGCATTTCTAGAGAATCTCTCGTCTAAAGTACCTAATAAGTGTATGGGTCATCTATATATTTATGTATAAGTATATATATATATATATATTCGTGGATTCTCTGCTGTTTTTGCTGCTGGTTTATGTCAGTGTAAAACCGTTCAATTGTAGCCTGGGCCTCGTATTACAATTACAATTACAATGTTCGACTGCTCGCCTTGTATATATGTATATTAAATAATCGGTAATCGGCATTCAGTTTTGCTTGTTGCTGTTTGTTTTGTATATATATATATGTAAATGGTAAAGTGTATAAAAGTTAATGATCTGATTCAGTAATACTTGTATGAAATTGTATGATTAGTTGATGTAGATCTAGAATTAGTTCAAACTTCTATGTTGTATCGATCTGCAGCTACTCTAAGTGTCTGACTCTTATTTTGTTACTTTTTGTTGTTGCTTACGAGTTATATGTTTACGTGTTTTGTATTGCTTTCAAAGTACCTAAAACACTTTTCTAAAAGAATACCGATAAAAAACAAGTAGATTTAAAAACTAAATAAATCGAAAGAAAATTATCTTTAAATGCTTAAGGGCAGTACGCTTTCATTTATAGTTCAAATTAAATAAGAAATATGTACAAATAAAACTAATCAAAACACAGTATAAATAATTCATAAATATTTATATATCTTTGGCCGGTCTATAAATTATATAGAAATCTTGCTTTCTTGCATTCCTAATAATGGCTTTTCGTTTTCTCATTCTGCGGTTGGTTTTGTTTTCTTCGATTGTATACATTTTGTAAAAAAGTAAAATTGCATATAAAAGCATTAAATTGCAGCTGCATTAAGTATGTATAATACGTATGCAAGTGTTTCAGTGTCCTTGTATTTATTTACTATTTTTTAAACGCTACTGTTATGCCTTTACTGTTTACACATTTGCTTTGATTTAGATATTTCTACGCTTTCTTTAATCGTCTTGCAACGCAATTTCCAAGATTGATCAGATGATGACTGAATGGTTCTCATACAAAATATTGAATATCAGCTTAGCTTAGTCTACCTTCTAACATAACTCTATTACGAGAACAA